GAGCTCTATATTACCAGTTTGTTTATACTGTAAATTAAAATCTGCAAGTCTGACCTTAAAAAAAAGTAAATGTTCATAATTAACTAAAGAAGTTTCTGGAAGTGATTAAAAAAAGGCAGTATAGAAAGGAAAGGGAAAGATTATGTGTGGTAAAAATTGCTCAACAACTCTGATTTTATAAGGATGTATTAAGAATATTCACAGGACTTTCAACGTTACTTTTCTGTGCAACATGATAATGTATGATTTTTTAAAACTGGGCTGGGTGCAGTGGCTCACACCTGTAATCCCAGCACTTTGGGAGGCTGAGGTGGGTGGATCACCTGAGCTCAGGAGTTCGACACCAGCCTGGGCAACACGGTGAAACCCCGTCTCTACTAAAAATACAAAAAAAAATAGCTGGGCATGGCGGCGTTCACATGTAGTCCCAGCTACTCGGGAGGCGGAGGCAGGAGAATCATTTGAATCTGGAAGGCGGAGATTGCAGTGAGCTGAGATCGCACCACTGTACTCCAGCCTGGGCGACAGAGTGAGAGTCTGGCTCAAAAAAACAAACAACAACAACAAAAAACCTGTTCTGAACTGTATCATTTCTCTATCATGGCATAACAAATTACCCCAAAACTTGGTACCTTAACATAAGTATTACTTTATTATTACCTCTCATAGTTCTAAGAATTGGTGTGGTTCTCACACAGGGTCTCTCATGCAGTTGCAGTCAGATTAGGGGCTGGGGCTGGAATCCTTGCAAAGGTTTCCTCACTCAGAAGTCTGGTGGTTGATGTTGGCTGTCTGCCTGAACACCCACACCCGGCCTCTCCATTGGCCTGGGCTTCCTCAAAGCATGGGGGCTGGTTTTAAGAACAAGTATCCCAAGAGAACTAGGTGGAATCTGTGTTTCACTTTTTATGACTTAGTCTCAGAGTTCACACAGTGTCTCTCCCTCCATTGTCACAGATTCAAGGATTAGGGAAACAGACTCTACTTCTAGATGGAAGGAGTACCAATGTCACATTGTAAAGACTAGCATATACGATGGAAGATCTTCCAGCATCTAGAAAAATTCAATTAGACACATCACTTGTTCTGTTGTTAATAAATATGTATAAATATAATTTGAACAGATTTCTTATAAGACTCCAATTTTTTTAATTGTTGCCATATCCTGTTGAAAAAAAAATTGTGCTAGATATTTTCTGTCTGCCCTGTTAGAACTACTCTCCACTGGTCTCCATGTTCTGTGTCCCTGAGTGCTGGCCTGAATGGACTGCATTAGTAAACTCTCTTGCCCTCTGCCTTCCTGGGTCCTGCCAGTGCATAGTACCTATATAAGATCAAAGGTTTGGAAGAAATGAGGTCAAAGTATTTATTCCCTAGCTGGATTATGGATTTGGCATATTTCTGTAGGCACCACTTCTGTCTGAAGACTATCTTCTATCCCTACATTTTCTTTTTTTTCTTTTTTTTTTTTTGAGACGGAGTCTCTCTCCATTGCCCAGGCTGGAGTGTAGTGGCGTGATCTTAGCTCACTGCAACCTCCACCTCCCAGGTTCAAGCAACTCTCCTGTCTCAGCCTCCCAAGTAGCTGGGACTACAGGCACCTTCCAACACACCCGGCTAATTTTTATATTTTTAGTAGAGACAGAGTTTCACCTTGTTGGTCAGGTTGGTCTCGAATACCTGACCTCAGGTGATCCACCTGCCTCGGTCTCCTAAAGTGTTGGGATTACAGGCGTGAGCCATCGCGCCTGGCCTAACCCTATACTTTCTGGGTTCCCATTGCTGCTCCCTTCTTTTGCCTCTTTAGGGATAGTAGTAGTGATGGATCCCCCTATTGCTAGCCCCGGCATGCTTCACTCTTTGGTTTTTCTTACCCAGTCTACAACTTTGTAAGCAGTAATTACTTAGCATACATAAGCCTAGTAATATAACTTTCAAAACCTCTAATTCTGATAAGGGATCTTACTGAAAATAATTTTATAATTGACTTTATTTTTAAGAGACAGGGTCTCACTATGTTATTTAGGCTGATTTCGAACTCCTGGCCTCAAGTCATCCCTCCATCCTCAGCTTCTTCCTCTGAGTAGCTGGGATTACAAGCATGAGCCACCATGCCTGGTTTATAATTAACACTGTTTTCTTAAAGAATGTAAATACCCATAATATTGCTCTATCAAATCATCTATAACATAGAAAACAATCCTGTTACTCTGCCATATTTGCTTTTTTTTGAGACAAGGTCTTGCTCTGTTGCCTTGCCTGGAGTGCAGTGGCACAATCTTGGCTCACTGCAACCTCTGCCTCCTAGAGGATCCTCCCACCTCAGCCTCCCGAGTAGCTGCGACTACAGGCACCTGCCCCTATGCCCGGCTAATACTTCAATTTTGGGGGTTGGCACGGTCAGAGGTAGAGACAGGGTCTTGCTCTGTCGCCCAGGCTGGTCTTGAACTCCTGGGCTCAGGTAATCCTCCCACCTCAGCCTCCCAAAGTGCTGGGATTACAGGAGTAAGCCACAGTACCTGGCCAAATATTTGCTATTTTAATAGAGGTTAAGAAATGTCATTTAAATTAACTACATTAGGCCAGGCTCAGTGGCTCATGCCTGTAACCCCAACACTTCGTAAGGCCTAGGCGGGTGGATCACTTGAGGTCAGGAATTCCAGGCCAGCCTAACCAACCGTCTCTACTAAAAATACAAAACTTAGCCAGGCGTGGTGGCAGGCACCTGTAATTCTAGCTACTCAGGAGGTTGAGGCAGGAGAATCACTTGAACCCAGGAGGCAGAGGTTGCCGTGAGCTGAGATCGCCCCACTGCACTCCAACCTGGGTGACAGAGCGAGATTCGCTCAAAATTTTGGGTTCAAATAAACCCAAAATTAACTACGTTAAACAAGCAATTACACTTATTTAATTACATTTATGTAAGTGCTGCAAAGATGAAAATGTATGAAGAGCTGTAACAGGGGAAACTGACTTTTCAAGTGGTGAGCTGGCTTCCCTAAAGAAAGGCATTTAAGGAAATCAGAGGAAGGAGGGGGATAGGTTTTTGTTTTTGAGACAGGGTCTCACTGTCACCCAGGCTGAGATCATGGCTCACAGCCTCCTCGTATCTCCCACACATGTCCAGGTTTCTCCACCCAATGCGCCTGCGCACAGGCCTACCCCAATCAGACACACCCCAGGACTGCCAGGGGCGGGGACTGTCTTCTCCGCTCTAGAGGTACCCCAGGAAGGGCCGGGTTACGTTTCGTCCGGAAAAGTGAGGCCCGGGGTTCCACTTAATTGTTACCGGAAGTGGGGGGAAGCATTGCCAGGGGAGGGCAGAGACTGTGACTGACCAGACGGGTGGCAGGCACTTGCCTGGGGGTAGGGAAGTAGTGGCGTTTGCGGCTAGGTCTGTCCTAGAGAAGGATGCGATGCCAGGGGAGAGGGAGGCAGAGACATTGGGACTGGGTCTCGGCCTCCCAGGCCAAGCCACTGCCCCCCGCCCAAAGACGCTCCTCCTCAGGGCGAAAGCGCAGAGACCGCAAATCCTGGGCGCTGCTACGGAAACTGATGCAGAGTCTAGGAGACCAACTCAGATTGCCACCTGGCCAGGCCCATGCACATTGGTAAAGAAATGTTTGAAATGTGTATTATTTCCACGTTTATCTGTGTATTATTCACTTGTGTTTTCTGTGTTTAATGTGAAGCCTAGAGTTGACCTTGGGAGCTTCAGCAGCAGGGTGCTAATTTTTCTTGCAAGCTATGTAAGTAGTGAAAGGAAGGTGACAATGGCTACTGGAAATTCACCGTAGTCCCTCCTCTTCCCCAGAAGTGGTCACAATTATAGGTGCTTTCCTGTCCCCTGCTCTACTGCACAGCCCAGGTGCATTTATGGGAAAAAAACCATGGAGATGGAGACTGATCCCTAATAACATTCTGTAAAATGCCATCCTTCAAAAAAACCAAATATCCTTGTAAGAAAGTTAAATCATTTGGTCAAACTATTATTTTAGGCCAGGCACAGTGGCTCACACCTGTAATCCCTACACTCTGGGGGTGCCACAGGAGCAGCATTGCTTGAAGCCACAAGTTCAAGACCAGCCTAGCGTAACACAGAAATCCCACTCATCTCTACCCCCAAAAATTAGCCAGGTGCGGTGGCATAAGCCTATATGGCAGAAGCTGTGGCAGGAGGATTGCCTGAGCCCTGGAGTTGCAGCAAGCTGTGACTGACTACATTCCAGTCTGGGTGACAGAGCAAGAAACCCTATCTCTAAAAATTAAAGAGTCTATCCATAAAAATCAGTCCACTTATTTAGACCAGCCGTCTATATTTTCCAGTTCATAAAGTGTAATACCTACTTCTTAAAATTTTATGTGCTGAAGGGTCAGACACAGTGGCTCACGCCTGTAATCCCAGCACTTTGGGAGGCCGAGGCAGGCAGATCACAAGGTCAGATCGAGACCACCCTGGCTAACACAGTGAAACCCCATCTCTTATTAAAAACACAAAAAACTTAGCCAGGTGTGGTGGCGGGCACCTGTAGTCCCAGCTACACGGGAGGCTGAGGCAGGAGAATGGCGTGAACCTGGGAGGTGGAGCTTGCAGTGAGCTCAGAACACACCACTGCACTCGGTCTCAAAAAAAAAAAAAAAAAATTTCTTTAGAATACTTTCAAAGGCATAAATGTTAACTATACCACACAGATTTTACAGCTTAATGATTCTATTTCTCCTCTTTCTGGCTTAGTTTCTTGCCTTGAAGCCCAGTATTCCATAAATTTTTTAGGGCAATTTTTCAAGTTTGAAGTATTGACCTCAACTGGGAATCCTGTTAAAATTCAGTTTCTAATTCAGCAGGTCTAGGGTAGGGACTTGATTGAGATTCGGCATTTCTCAAAAATCCCACTTTGGGCCAGTGAGCTTTGGACTTGAGATTAACAAGGCTTTAATCAACACACGCCTCCTTGTATCTCTACAAAGACCCATTAGGTAATTACATATAGAACAGAGACTAAGAATTAAAACAAGAAATTTATTAAATATACAAAACAGGAATACAGTTCAATTACTCTGTCTAAAAAATTTCATTTTTACATAACCAAGAAAATATTTACAACTATATACAAAAGACTCCCACCTGTGTATAACCTTTGGTCCATCTGTGCTATTTCTCATATCTGCAAGAGAAACCTAAAATGTTAATATTTGAGTATTAAGTATTTACATCTTTTTGTGTTGGTTTTTAAATGTACAAGTACCCCTGAATGGCTCAAAGGGATAGGATAATGCTAGAAACACTAACTTGCAATAAAGTGCAGTTTTCATGCAAACTTAGCCATTAGTTTTCTCCTTTCAGACAGGTATCCACAGTCCATATGGACTTTTTTTCTTATCTATTTTTGGTGATCTTGAAGATGTCTCTTCTGTGGCAGCTTTAGCTGATTTCTGTATTGGTTTTGCTACAGAATTCTGTAAAAAAACAAATTCAGTCAGCTTCCCAAACATATAATTATACATTTTCACACAAAAAAGTACATTAAATAATCCCATATACGAGCCTTAGAGATATCAACTGTTGGGCGTGGTGGCTCACGCCTGTAATCCCAACACTTTGGGAGGCTGAGGCGGGCGGATCATGAGGTCAGGAGATGGAGACCATCCTGGCAAACACAGCGAAACCCTGTCTCTACTAAAAATACAAAAATTAGCTGGGTGTGGTGGTGTGCGCCTGTAGTCTCAGCTACTCGGGAGGCTGAGGCAGGAGAATCGCTTGAACCCAGGAGGCAGAGGCTGCAGTGAGCCAAATCCACACTGGCAACTCCAGGGCCTGGGTGACAGAGTCAAAGCTGTCAAAAAAAAAAAAAAAAAATGCCAGGCGCGGTGGCTCACGCCTGTAAATCCCAGGCACTTTGAGGATCAAGGCGGGCGGATCACTGAGGTCAGGAGATCAAGACCATCCTGGGCTAACACGGTGAAACCCCATCTCTACTAAAACTACAAAAACTAAGCGGGCGTGGGTGGCGGGCGGCTGTAGTCCAGCTCTCGGGAGGGGCTGGGCAGAGAATGGCGTGGAACCGGAGGCGGAGCCTGCAGTGAGGCGGCGATTGGACCACTGCACTCCGCCTGGGACAGAAGCGAGACTCCGTCCAAAAAAAAAAAAAAGATATTATCACCAAACATAGTATGAACCTTAATTGTAGCTTGATTCAAAATGTAAAGTGAAGATACTGAGGCAGCAGGGAAACACTGGACATACACAAGGTGTAATGATTTGGGGGCTTCGTTTTTGAAACCGTATTTTAAAACATTGTGATTAAGGAGTATTCTGAAGATTTCCCTTTAAAATATTTCAATAAAAAAGGGGAGAGACTTAAAAGAAAAGCAAAATATCGAAACGAATGTGAATGTCAGATAGGTTAGGAACCCATTGTAATGGCCACTTGTAAACATGGCTCAAAAACAAACGATTTTAATTCTATTTAAAAACTGTGTCAGTAGGCCCCCAATCATCACCACCAAGATAAAAACACAAAGATGCAAACACATCCTAAATCCAATTTTTGAGTGATCAATGCCTGGACATACTTACATTAGAGCTAAAAGCTATGCTTCTTTGCTGGGAAGGTTTTTCACTAGGATTTCTAGTTCCATCTTCTGTTACGTTTTCTGACAGCTAGACAGGTCAAGAAAAAGTATTAATTTTAAAACACATACCCTTGGTTTCTAAATCCTATATTAAAAAATAATCTAATTGTATACAAAATTTAGTTGTAGACACAAAAATCAACTTGGATCTAACCATATATTCAACAGCTGAAGTAACAATTATTGAGTTTTCCCCTTAACAAAACTGATTTAATATTAGGCTTAAGACGCTCTTCTCATAATTATTTTACTTCCCTGCTGGCAAATTTAAGTAATTTTTAAACTAGTTTTTTAATCAGTTTTCTCAGGTTGAATCAAGTTAACTTTTGAAAAGTAAAGCCACATCAGAAATACCTAGCTTTAAGAAGCTAAGACATTTGCCAGTTAGGCACCTAATCGTCTGAACAAAGACCTTGTCTACTAATACTGAGCAAACCCACATCTGGGCCCAATTACACAGATTCATTTAGATACAGCATCTTTTTTTTTTTTTTTTTCTCGAGACAGAGTCTCGCTTTGTCACCCAGGCTGGAGTGAAAAGTACAGTGCAATTTGCTAATGCACATCCTGCACATTTGTGGAGAATTATAATAAACTTATCTGCAAATGAAGCAGGCCTCCTCTTCTGTAATCTCTCAAAACATCTGGAATATATTGCATATATTATGAAAGGGACATCTTTTTCACAGATGCCCCACCATTACAACATGTACCTTTGCTTACTTTAAAAATTGACTTTAATACTTTATACAAATAGTACCTGTCCCAAATTCTAGCATGCACATGTATCTACCAACAAAGAAAACTAAGTTTTCAGTGCGTGAACATAAACTTCAAATTAAACCTCTGATGCTTTAGCCCATGTATCAATTACCAACAGATTTTCTTCATCAATGTCTGCAGACCACATTCATGATTTCTATAAGACAGAAATAAAGCAGATAAACTATACTGTATATGCTGAGTACAGATTTGTGGGAACATAATGCTGCAAATGAAAGCTACGCACTGTAAATAGCTTAGAAAACCTGGTAACAGAATCACCGAAGTACCAGCTACAATATATTAATGGTGTTATAAGAGTACAGTGTTAACTGAAAATGAAAAATTAAATGTATTTTTTGAGACAGGGTCTCACTCTGCTGCCCAGGCTGGAGTACAATGGTTCAATCTTGGCTCACTGCAACCTTAGCATCCTGGGCTCAAAGATCCTCCTGCCTCAGCCTCCCAAACAGCTGGCACTACGGGCATGCGCCACCATGCCTGGATAATTTTTGTATTTTTTTGTAAACACGCGGTTTTTCCACGTTGCCCAGGCTGGTCTTGAACTCCTGGACTCAAGCCATCTGCCTCATTACAGGCAAGAGGCACCATGCACGGCCAAATAAAGTTCATTAATCTCCCATTTTCATGGGTACGACCTTGCTTATCTTCAGATCTGCCACTAAAGTTCATTAATCTCCCATTTTCATGGGTATGACACCTTGCTTATCTTCAGATCTGCTACTCTGAATTTAGCACATTATATACATAGCTAGACTTCCCAAAAAGTATAGTCTAAGGTAAATAGTAAGTGGCTTATCAGATTTGACAGTTGGCTTTCTGAACGTTTTGTTGGGACAAACCTAGAATACTTACTTCAGGCTTTGCACCATTACTTGATACACCTATTCCATGGCTTGTTTCTTTGGCTACATGTACAGTTCTGAGACTAGCTGGCAAATCAATGTTGGTTGTTCCTAAAGCTTTCGCTGCATTGGCTTTTGCTATTTCTAACAGCTCCATTCGATCTGAAAAAAAAAAAAAATTTTTTTTTATTCATTAGTCTGGTAGCTTTTTCCCCCCAAGAGAACTCAGAATTACAAAATAAGCATGTTATTTTGTGGTATTAAATGTATTAAGTCACTTGTTTATAATACGTAAAGTAAGGCTGCCCTTTAACACTGGTTTGAGCTGCGCTGGTCTACTTTATAGTTAGATTTTTTTCTCCCTACTAAATGCAGATAGAAAGTACCACAGTATTTGAGACTGTAAACCCCAAGCATGCGTGACGGTTCCATATGCGTCCTGGCACCAATCCCCCGAGTGAACACAGGGACAACTGTGTAACTTTATTCACTGAAAACTCAACTCTCCAGCTCACTTCTTGCTGAAAGAAATAAAATTCTTAAATAATCTTAGTTTTCAGTTTTCCTGACTAAAGGCCTGAACGTCCTACTATTTTGTCTTTTTGTTGTAGCTAATTTTCTCTAGTTAATAGTGGTAATATTTTGCTTTTTCTTCAAAGATATTTCTGAAAACCAGGGTTTTCTGCAACAGATTCTTTATATGGTACAATTACCACAACCACTGAACCAATACTGATACACTCAAGTGTATTTCTACCACCACCCCCGGCTAATTTTTGTATTTTTACTAGAGATAGTGAGCTACGTCGGCCAGGCTGGTATGGAACGCTTGGCCTCAAGTGACCCGCCCGCCTCCGGCTCCCAAAGTGCTGGGATGGCAGGCGTGAGCCACCGTGCCGGCCTCCTAAATCATTTAAGATACTCGACAATTCAATTGTATTCAGTAATAACGTCAACTAAAAAGCAGCGTGTTTTGATGTTGTTCTTCCCAATCTATAGTTAAATTTAAAACCTTTAACTTAATCATAACATTTAAAAGACTCCACCACCAAGAACAGTCAGCCAATAGGAAAAAAGGTTCCCTACATCCTGAGCCATTTAACATCCGATTGACCTTTAACCCTGAAGAGACAGAATGCTGTCCACTAACTACAAATAATGTCCTCCCTCTTTCCTCCAACGAAAAAAATTTCCAGCACCAAAGGAACTAATATTGAAACTACACAGCAACTTTGGTTCCCTAACCTCCTCGTATACTGTCACCACACATTACCAAAACTAGAAAGATAAATGACCCACCTTTTTCACTTAAGCGAAAGGGGGTTCTGCTCCGCGACCTCGTCCTGGATCTGTCCCTCCATCTGCTGCGCTCCTCCGGGTACACTGTGCGACCAAAGCCGTAGTAGCGCCGCCCGCGCGCCATCGCGTACGCCCTTCCGTAGTACGACCTTTCCCGAGAGCGCGACCTGCTACGGGACCGGGACCGGGACCGCGAAGGAGACCGGTAGTATCTCCTGGAGAAGCCGTAACGCCTCTCTCGGTAACGGCGGCTGCGAGATCGCGACCGGCTCCGCGAGTATGACCGCGAGTAGCGCCTGTACTTCCGCTGGTGGCGCCTTCGGGAACGGGACCTCGACCTACTCCTCCGGCTCCGGCTCCGACTCCTAGACGACAACCGACTCGAGACGCGGGAACGGGACCGAGAGCTTCTGGAAAAAGAACGGCTCCTAGACCGCGACGAGAGCCGGCTGGACCCGCCCGACCGCGAGGCGGAGGGCGAATCCTTCTCCTGCGGCGAGCCCGGCCACATGTCGTTCACGTAGTTGGACATCTTCCGCTGCGGCCTTAGCCTGCGCTTTCTCCGGAAACGATCCCGCAAGCCTCAACTCACGACTTCCTAAAAATCCCAGAGAGAAAAACAAGTCGCGTCGCGGAAGCGGGCGCCCGGCCACCCGGAAGCCACAGTCTGGGGCCCTCCGGGAGGCGGAGCCAAGGCGCGGGAGGCGGCCGCGGCGAAGGGAATCAGCCCTAAAAACTCCGCTCGGCGCCCTGAGGCCGCGGCCTCGAAGCGAAACGCTGCGTTCCCCAAACGCGAGCCCAGCACGTTTCCCGTCCCTCACTCCTGAGAGACCCCGTCAGTAGAAAACTTACCGTAGGCCGTCGACGCCTCCCTCACGACTGAGAGAAAGGCCCAACAGACACCCTCCTTTCGGAACGCAGGACTAAAAGGAGCGTTTCGTGCCCACTCTCGAACAGCGAACTCTACAACCTCCACCTTCGACGTCCGGACGCGCACTGAGAGCCTACGTCAGCAGACGCGTCGAAAGTACCAGAAGCTGGCCCCCGGCGCATGCGCAGAGACGTTCCGTAGCGGGCGTGGCTCTCCTTTCGCCCAACCACCGCCCTGCCTCCTCCCTCCCCCAAGCCGCGCCCTTGCCTCCACGGTGCTCATGCGCGATGGGGCTCCAGGGGGCGGTGCTTGATACATCCGGGTGTCCCGTTGCCCTTGGCTTTTTTTTTTTTTTTTCTCTCTTCTGTCTCTCCCCCGTCTGAGATAATTGCGGGGCAGAAAACTTCGAAGATGGGACGGTCCCGCCTGGCGCTACACCAGACTCTGGCCTTACTGCACGGGCGGGGCTGGAGTAGGGCCGGGGGAGGAGCGGCCGCAGGCTGGAGAGGGTTGGGAGCGGGTGCCGTCTGACAGGCAGGTGCCCACAGGGTCGTTGCAGCACCCGCCGCCGGGAAGTCGCAGACCCGGCCTGAGCCTCCCTGGACCCTTCCTAGCCTCTTCCTCCTGTCCTGGGTACCGCGGCGCCGGGAGACGGCTACCGAATCCACACCCCGCCATGACGGAGAGGGGACCACGCCCTCCCCCGGGACACCCCAAGATCCCTGGAAATGCAGTATTAACGTAGAAAAGGTGTTTTACTTCCATGTTTTGGCTAGGAAGGTAATAAGGTGGAGACAAAATAAAAGGACTCACAATTGACCTTTAATCTGGGCATAAGAATGAAGTCTGAGATACCTCTTCCAAAAACTGTGTTTGGTGTAAGAATGTAAACAAAGGTGACTATTTTACTTCTAGGGATCTACAAATGGGATGCATTTCAAACACTTCTTGTTGTGATAAAGCATAACAATTGCCTTGAAAATTGTGGGTTAATTGCTTTTTTTTTTTTTTTGAGACGGGGTCTCACTCGCCCAGGCTGGAGTGTGGTGGGACCCTCACGGCTCACTGCAGCCCAGGCTCCAGAAGAGCTGGAACTACAGGCATGCACCACCACGCTAATTTTTTTATTTTTTTAGCCACAGAATCTAACTGTGTTGTCCAACCTGGTCTCCAACTCCTGGGCTTAAGCGATTCTCCCGCCTCAGTCTCCCAAAGTGCTGGGATTACAGGCATGAGCCACTTTGCCCAGCCTATACATTTCTTTACATTTTGACAAAAGCCACTTTGTTTAGAGGGAGATACAAACTTACTCATATCTTATTCATCTTCATCCCACATGTCCGCAGTTCATCCACATCTCCTGAGGATGCATCATGATGGAAGTAGTTCTTAAACAGTTTCTTTCTAAATCTCAAGACAGTGAAGATCCAATGCCCATCCATCAGAAACTTTTGCCGAAAGTTCTCATAAAGCTGTGTGAGTGGACAGAAAAATAACACGAGGCCGGGCGCGGTGGCTCACGCTTGTAATCCCAGCACTTTGGGAGGCCGAAGCGGGTGGATCACCTAAGGTCAGGAGTTAATGCGAAAATTAGCCGGGCGTGGTGGCGGGCACCTGTAATCCCAGCTACTCAGGGGGCTGAGGCAGGAGAATTGCTTGAACCTGAGAGGCGGAGGTTGCAGTGAGCCGAGATCGTGCTATCGCACTCCAGCTTGGGCAACAAAAGCAAAACTCCATCTCAAAACAAATAATAATAATAACACGAGTTTCACATTTGACAAGTATAAAAATGATGTGTTAGGGGAACTAAAGTTAAACTATGCTTATGATACAGTCTTGAGCTCTTGATTATGAATAGGAAAGGATGGAACGAGTCTCTGTAGACAGTTCATTGTATCAGTCAATGTGTGCCTAAAAAATGGTGACCAGAAAAATCCTAATTTTTTTTTTTTTTTTTTTTAAAGACAGTCTCGCTCTAGTGCCCAGGCTGGAATGCAGTGGTGCGATCTTGGACTCACTGCAGCCTCTGTGTACTGGGTTCACACGATTCTTGTGCCTCAGTCTCCCGAGCATCTGGGTTTACAGACGTGCATCATCACGCCGGCTAACTTTTTTTGTATTTTTAGCAGAGATCGGGTTTCGCCATGTTGGCCAGGCTGGTCTCGAAATCCTGACCTCAAGTGATCTGCCTGCCTTGGCCTCCCAAAGTGCTGGGATTACAGGCATGAGCCACTGTGCCCAGCAAATCCTGGATATTAACAGGATTTTGGAAACAGTGGGAAACATGTCTTAGCCCTGGTGCAGAATGCTGGTGTATTTGTCTCAAAAACATATGCGGTCTACCTCAGTTAAAGTCTAAGGATGTCACCTTCCTTTATTTCTCTAAACACTATATATTCTCTGAGCATCTATCCACTCACCTAATTTAAAAAATTCAACTTTAGTTTTTAGAACATCTAGCACTGGCCGGGCGCGGTGGCTCAAGCCTGTAATCCCAGCACTTTGGGAGGCCGAGACGGGCGGATCACGAGGTCAGGAGATCGAGACCATCCTGGCTAACACAATGAAACCCCGTCTCTACTAAAAATACAAAAAAATTAGCCGGGCGTGGTGGCGGCGCCTGTAGTCCCAGCTACTTGGGAGGCTGAGGCAGGAGAATGGCGGGAACCCGGGAGGCGGAGCTTGCAGTGAGCCCAGATCGCGCCACTGCACTCCAGCCTGGGCGACAGAGCGAGACTCCGCCTCAAAAAAAAAAAAAAAAAAGAACATCTAGCACTGAATTTGTAGGCTAATTTTGGTGAAAATAACATCTTTACAATAGCAAATCTTCCCATCTAAGAATGTGACAATGTTGTAACCAAGCGAGTTAGAGAGAAGCGCCACATTTTGAGAAAAATTATGGAGTCCTTTATTAGCCGGTGACCGAGAGACAGCTAGCGCTCAAAATTCTCTCGGCCCCGAAGAAGGGGCTAGATTTTCTTTTACACTAAGGTCTAAATAGGGGAGGGGGGTTTAACTGAAGCAATTTTACAGAAGCAGAATAGGCAAAAAGTTTAAAAAAATTAATTGGTTATAGAAGCAGTTACAAAAAATAAACAGTTCCAGGTGCAGGGGCTTAAACTATCACTAAGAGATAAATGCAGGGGCTTTAGGTATCTTCCACCGAGCACATTCCCAGGAGCTGCTGGTACAGCCTGCCTCAATATCTTATCAGCAGGTGCATTCTTGGATGTGGTTGGAGTCAGCTTGCACTAGTTATTCCCTTAAGGGGGATAAAGGGGCCTGCAAGTAAAGAAACTAAAATGGAGTCTGTCCGGCTCTCTGCTAGGAGAGAGTCACTCAGGTTAAAACAAGGTAGGGTAGCGCAACAAGCTTTAAGTGTGCCATTTAAGTTGGGGTTTTTTGTTTGTGTCCTTCATTATGGTAGGCAAACCAATTGCCTCCCAAACATGTCCATTCCCTAATTTCCTGGAACCTGTGAATATGTTACCTTAAGGTGGCAAAAGGCATTATGCAGATGTAATTAAGGTTAAGGATATGGAGATGAGATTATCCTGAAGTATCTGGGTGGGCCCAATCTAATCTCAGGAGAGAGTCAAAGCATGAGAAGAATTCTATGCCCTGTTGCTGCTTTTGAAATGTAGGGCCCGGCGTGGTGGCTCACGCCTGTAATCCCAGCACTTTGGGAGGCCAAAGCAGACGGATCACCAGGTCAGGCGTTTGAGACCAGCCTGGCCGACATGGTGAAACCCCGTCTCTACTAAAAATGCAAAAATTAGCCGGGCGAGGTGGCGTGCGCCTGTAATCCCAGCTACTTGGGAGGCTGAGGCAAGAAAATCACTTGAATCCGGGAGGCGGAGGTTGCAGTGAGCCGAGATCACACCACTGCACTTCAGCCTGGGCAATAGAGCGAGACTCCGTCTCAAAGAAAAAAATAATTAAAAAAAAAAAAGAAATGTAGGGGCTTATGTGCAAGGGCAGGGAGAGGACTCTAGGGGCTAATGGTGGGTTCCAGCTGACAGCCAGGAAACAGACCTCAATCCTACATCATAGAACTGAATTCGGTCAACACCTGGATGAGCAAGTGTGGGGATCTTCCCCTAGAGCCTCCAAAAAGAATCAAAATGTGGCTGACACCTTGACTCTAACCTGGTGAGACTCCTCACCTGTAGAACTACGAGATATTAAATTTGCATTGTTTTAAGCCACTAACATTGTGGTTATTTATTACCACACCAGTAGGAAAATAAAACATTCAGTAGAATTTGTAGTTTTCCTTTTTTTCTTTTTTTTTTTTTTTTTTTTTTGAGACGGAGTTTCACTCTGTTGCCCAGGCTGCAGTGCGATGGCGTAATTTTGGCTCACTGCAACCTCTGCCTCCTGGGTTCAAGCGATTCTCCTGCCTCAGCCTCCTGGGTAGCTGGGACTACAGGCATGCACCACACCCAGCTAATTTTTGTATTTTTAGTAGAGACAGCGTTTCACCATGTTGGCCAGGCTGATCTTGAACTGACCTCAAGTGATCCACCCGCCTCAGCCTCCCAAAGTGCTGAGATTACAGACATAAGCCACCACACCTGGCCTTTTTTTTTTTTTTTTTTTTTGGGACAAGGTCTTGCTTTTTTGCCTAGGCTGGAGTGCAGTGGTGCAGTCACAACTCACTGCAGTCTCGACTTCTCAGGCTGAGGTGATCCTCCCAGCTCAGCTGCCTGCTGGGACTACATATACCACTACATATACCTATACCACTACGCCCAGCTAATTTAATCAATTTTTTGTAGAGATGTATAAAAGCTAACAGTCATTCCCTAGAGGTATAGAATCCTCTAGAAGAGGTCTCCATCCTTCTTCCTCATATCATAGAGATAACCAATGTTAACATTTTAATGAGTGCACTTCCATAGCTTTCTTTGACGTGTCAGATATACTCATATATAGAATTTTTTTTTTTGAGACAGAATCTCACTCTCTTGCCCAGGCTGGAGTGCAGTGGTGCAATCTCGACTTACTGCCACCTCTGCCTTCCTGGTTCAAGTGATTCCCATGCCCCAGCCTCCCGAGCAGCTGGGAGTACAGGTGCACGCCACCACGCCTGGCTAATTTTTGTTGCTGTTGTTGTTTTGTGAGACAGAGTCTCACTCTCTCACTCAGGCTGGAGTGCAGTGGCATGATCTCGGCTCACTGCAATCTCCCTCTCCCAGGTTCAAGTGATTCTCGTGCCTCAGCCTCCCAAGTAGCAGGGATTACAGGCACATGCACCACACCCGGCTATTTTTTTTTTTTTTTTTCAGTAGAGACATATTCTGTGTGGGGAGTGCACAGGTAAAAGCAAACACACAGCACTCACAGCAAGTGCAGATTGTAAAGTACTCTAGGTTTATTTAAGTATAAAAGAGAAGGTGCATTGAGCAAACAGCAGTGAGAAAAAAAAAAACAAAACAATCAGCGTATATACACTCACCATATGATGGAGGATTCATCACCAGACCGGGAAGCAACAGCCTGGGTTCCAGAGTCGGCCACTGGTCCACGCCCAGAGGAGGAGAGGTCTCATGCAGCTTCAGCATAGTCTGGGACCCTGACCTTTTTTTTTTTTTTTTTTGAGATGGAGTTTCACTCTTGTTGCCCAGGCTGGAGTACAATAGCATGCACTGCAACCTCCGCCTCCCAGGTTCAAGGGATTCTCCTGTCTCAGCCTCCTGAGTAGCTGGGATTACAGGCGCCTGCCACTATGCCCAGCTAATTTTTGGTATTTTTAGTAGAGATGGGGTATCACCATGTTGTCCAGGCTGGTCTCGAACCTCTGACCTCAGGTGATCTGCCCACCTTGGCCTCCCAAAATGCTGGGATTACAGGCGTGAGCCACCACACCCGTCCTGACCTTTTTATAGTATTCTCTTTGGCATGAGGCCCAGGCACAAGGCCTTTTGTCACTGGACTCAAGGAACACGGAAGGGTCAGCCTATTTGCAAGGTTTTGTTTATCGCCTCGAGGCAGATGATGTATGTATCAAGAACAATCAGTATAGTCCATCTGTTCCTGAGCCAGTGCCCAGGGACAGATTTCTGGCATGTAACCATTCCTTGTGTTCAAGTCCAGTTGAGTTCAAATTTAATATTTAACTTTTCCTCCGCAAGACGGGGTTTCACCATGTTGGCCAGGCTGGTCTCAACCTCTTGACTTCAGGGGATCTGCCCACTTCGGCTTCCCAAACTGCTGGGATTACAGGCGTGAGCCACTGCATCTGGTGCATACAGAATTTTTGATGAATATGGGCTCATTCTAAACAAGTTGAAACTTATAATCAACATCCTTTAGGATAAATCATACCGATCTAATGTGTTTTGGTTTATCAGCTGTATCACATTCCATAGTCTAGAAGTACTAGAAATTAGTCTACCCCTGCTTTTTTGGTTGGTTGGTTGTTTCTGAGATGGAGTTTCGCTCTTATTGCCCAGGCTGCACGATCTTGGCTCACTGCAACCTCTGCCTCCCGGGTTCAAGCAATTTTTCTGCCTCAGCCTCCTGAGTAGCTGGGATTACAGACATGCGTGACCACATCAGGCTAATTTTGTATTTTTAGTAGAGACGGGGTTTCTCCATGTTGGTCAGGCTGGTCTCGAACTCCCAACCTCAGGTTATCCGCACACCTCAGCCTCCCAAAGTGCTGGAATTACAGGTGTGAGCCACGGTGCCTGGCCTATCCCCCTTTTTTTAATTCATGGACATGCATATGGTTTCCAGTTTTTTCACTAAATACAATGCCTCAGAACTATCCATAGATATCAGAGCAGTCACAGAGCTCCTCCACAGGCCCCTAATCCACAAGCCCAAGGTCGAAGAGCCATGTACAAGACGAACTTGGAGCAACTGATTGCAGTGAAAACCCCAGCACTGCTCCAGGAGTTTCCTCCAACGGTGGTGGGGGTCAGCTTAGCTCTTTCAGAAAGGATTAGAGGAGCACATCCAAAGTGTGAGAGCTACAAAGAGGAAAAAGCAGCTCTGAGTGATTTTGACACAGATGACATAGCTGTTGATCTTAGATCAGAGATTAGTTGAGATTAGACATCTCTGTTGTTAGGGCTGCTATAGAATCATAGCTACAGTCACCAGTAAAGCATTCAAAGCAATTAACAGATCAACAAACATGCCCGTTTTCAGGATATCCCAAGGAATTCCTGCTGCTGTGTGAACCATCACCCCATGGGAGCTCACTCCACTGTTTGCAATTACTGAGCCTTGGTATAAGTCAGCTGTTCTTCCTACTGCTCCTCTTAGTGATGGTTTCCTGGGTTGGTAGCTGTATTGTGGAAATACCAGGCTTGCAGTGCAACACAGGAGGCACCCTTGATAAATTTAACACATCTATTCCCTGCCATGAAGACCTAGTATGTGAAGATGCTATGTGTAATATTCACCAGGGAAGCCGATGACTCTGTCCCATTACAGCCACCATAGAGAGATGTTATGAATAGTTTTGTTTTGTTTTTTTTTTTTGAGATGGAGTCTCACTCTGTTGCCCAGACTGGAGTGTGGTGGTCTCAGCTTACTGCAACCTCTGCCTCCCAGGTTCAAGTGATTCTCCTGCCTCAGCCTCCTGAGTAGCTGGGATTACAGGCGCCTGCCACCACACCCAGGTAATTTTTTGCATTTTTAGTAGGGACAGGGTTTCACCATGTTGACCAGGCTGGTCTCGAACTCCTGATCTTGTGATCTGCCCGCTTCGGCCTCCCAAAGCGCTGGGATTACAGGCTTGAACCACCGTGCCCAGCCGAATAGTTCTGTATCACATCATTCAGCTTTTGGGGTGTCTACTCAAACTAGGGCAAGCAAAAGGACAACACACAAATCCAGATATGTGTTTGCCAATGTTATTCTTGATAAGTCATACAGGTGCAATTACTGGTGGTGTCACTACAACGGAAGAACCGATTGGTGCCTTTGTGTAATTGAGAATGAGACAGTCACGTCCATGCCTAATGGCCACCTGTATTGCTTGAGGACTGCTCTGCTTTGCACAAAATATAACTCTTCCATGCATACTTTTGCTCACAGGGTGTTGCTACTCAGTCAGATGAGCCATCTCAACCATACCCGCCTTAACATCAGAGGAACCGTTATTAACCATATATGGATTATGTTACACAAACTTCACAGGGAATTTAACTTCGGTGATGGCACAGTCATGGGCAGTGGAATAACTGGAGAATGTCAACTGGGTCCAGGACAGAAAAAGGAGAAATACTACAGAAGGCTAAGTTACTGAAGCTGTAAGAGGTTTCTTTTTTGAAGGTTATATGCAGTCCACTTTCTGTCCTACTCCCCCAAATCCTTTCACAGCCTCTACCTGATCATACTTAATTTTTGCAACTTCGACTCAACAACCAAATGATCACAGGTCATGTCTTGGGAGATTTAGCACTTGTCTGGCCCTGTGAAAAGATTAGTTGTTTGATCCTCATCCTGACAACAAATAACCTTTACTTCAAGGTACAATGCAATGAAACCATTATTTTTACCACCAGTGAAATGGGATCTTATAGAGCAGCAGTCCCAACCCTTTCAGCAGCAGGGACCAGTTTCATAGAAGACAGTTTTTCCACGGTCGGGGGTGGGGGCGTTGTTCTGGGATGATTCAAGTGCGTTACATGTATTTTGCACTTTTTATTATTATTACATTGTAATATGTAATAAAATAGTTATACAACTTGCCCTGAGCTTGTTTTCCTGCAACTAGACGGTCCCATCTGAGGGGATGGGAGACAGTGACAGATCAGTAAGTACTAGATTGTCATAAGGAGTGGCCCTCTAGAGCCTCTCATGCACAGAGTTCGCTCCTGTGGGAATCTGATGCTGTAGCTGACGTGACGAGAGGTGGAGCTCAGGCAGTAATGCAAGCGATGGGGAGTGGCTGTGAATACAGACGAAGCTTCACTCGCCCACCGCCTGCCTCCTGCCGTGCGGCCTGGTTCCTAACAGGCCACAACCGGGGAGTTGCAGACCACCTTCCATTGGTGAAGGGGGATACATATCAACCCTTTGGGCCAATAAAACGAATGTGCTCCGAGTAATCAGCTCTGAACGTTGCTCCCATGTTCAGCGACTGTTTTGTTAAACGCTATTAATGGATAAGTTTTTCCTGAAAGTCTTCCATCAAGTCTTTTTTTTTTTTTTTTTTTTGAATACACAGAGTCTCGCGAGCTCTGTTGTCCAGGCCTGAGTGCAGTGACGCCATCCTAGCTCACTGCAGCCTCAAATTCCTGGGCTCAAATGATCCTCCCGCCCCAGCCTACTGAGTAGTTAGGACTACAGGCATGCGCAACTACACCTGACTAATTTTTATAAAGAGTTTTTGGTAAAGTCCATATAGCCCAGGCTGGTCTCAGACTCCTGGCCTCAGGTAAGATCCTCCATCCCAGTCAGCTAAAGCACTGGGTTTATAGGCATGAGCCACCATGCTGGGTCCCATTGAGATTTTGTTGTTGTTATTAGGCAGCGTCTCACTCAGTCACCCAGGATGGAGTGCAGTGGTGTGATCACTGCTCACTACAGCCTCAACCTCCCGGGTTCCAGTGATCCTCCCACCTCAGCCCCCACCAGTAGCTGGTACTACAGGCACACACCACCATGCCCAGCTAATTTTTTTGTAGAGATGAAGTTTCACTATGTTGCCCAGGCTAATCTTGAACTCCTGGGCTCAAATGATTCTCCAGCCTTGGCCTCTCAGAATGCTGGGATTACAGGCGTGAGCCACCATGCCTGGCTGCCCTATCCAGATCTCACAGGAGGCCCTCATGTGCTTGACTTCTTGTATTTTGCTATTGGACCTAAATCTGACTTCTCTGGAATGCATCAGGCATCTCACAATGAGTCCACTCACTTGAACAGTTCTTTATGGCATGTCAAGTTACCTTCACTTGCTTTCCTCAGTCCACTAGACTGGTTTCTGGATTTGACCTTTTGGGCAGCCTGGCTTGGAGGGGTATTATGCTTTGTAACACCTGAAACTTCACTGGGAGCCAAAGCCACGTGCTGCTTTAAGTAGTATTACTTTTATTGCTAGGTTACTTTTATTCCTAAAGTGGAACTGCTAGGTCGAAGGAGCTGGGTCATCAATACATTGCAGTATTGCCTTCCAAAAAGGTTGTCACAACAATGCATGGGAATGCCTTCTTGATCTCCCAGACAGGTTTTCCCCCAATTATAGGTTATCTTGCTTTCCTGTGCCTCCTACTTTTAGCATTTATCACACTTTTAATTAAATAACTAAGGTTTTAATTTATTTTTAATGCGTTTCCTCCCAGAATATAAATTACATAAGGACAGAAACTTGTTCTTACTCTACCCCAGCATTCCAGATAGTGTATTTCATTTGGCATTCAATTGGTGTTTACTGAATGAACAAATGAAAAAGAATCTCACGTAGGTCTTAAGGGAACAAGCAGAGGGAAAGTAATATTTTAGAGAGAAACAAAAGTCTTAGCAAACTTGGAATTAGAAATGCCCATTTTAGAATTTGGGGATAGAAGATAAATAGCTTGACTAGAGCAAAGGGTTTATTGTGGAGAATTTTGGAAAATAAAGTTAGAGATGTAGTTTTTTTGAGTCAGGGTCTTGCCCTGTTGCCCAGGTTGAGTGAAGTGGTGCAGTCATGGTTCACTGCAGCCTCAACCTCCCAGTCTCAAGTGATCCTCCCACCTCAGCCTCCCAAGTAGCTGAGGCTACAGGCACACATCATCATGCCCAGCTAATTTTTTGTTGGTGGTGGTATTTTTTGTAGAGACAAGGTTTCTCCATATTGCCCAGGCTGGTCTGGAACTCCTGGGCTCAAGTGATCTGCCCACCTCAGTTTCCCAAAGTGCTGGGATTACAGGCGTGACCCACCATACCTGGCCCAGAGAAATAGATTTGAGGCAGACCGTGGTGAGACATGAATGTGAACATCTACTTATGAAGCAGCAGGATCCTCATTCATCAGAAATAATCTATCTCCTAAAAGCTGACTGAATACACTGAGATGGCAAGCAGCTTTACCTAACTGGATGGGAGGAAAGAAAACGCCTGCAGGATTTGGGGGCAGAGTGTTCCAAAGGCTTTTAACCTTTAACATATGCTTTGCTTAAACAAATACCTAAAACATTTACACTACAAAAATGCATAATCTCACAATGTATTTATTTATTTTTTTGAGACAGAATCTCGATCTGTTGCCTAAGCTGGAGTACAGTGGCACAATCTTGGCTCGCTGCAATCTCTGCCTCCCAGGTTCTAGTGATTCTCCTGCCTCAGTCTCCTGAGTAGCTGGGATTACAGACGTGCACCACCATGCCGGCTAATTTTTGTATTTTTTGTAGAGACTAGGTGTCACAATGTTGGCCAAGCTGGTCTCGAACTCCTGACTTTGTGATCTGCCTGCCTGGGTCTCCCAAAGTGCTGGGATTACAGGCGTGAGCCACCGTGCCCAGCTGGCATCTAGTGTTCTCATGGGAGAAGGCTTTTTGGAAGGCCCTGTCATTGTGTTTGTGAGACTGGCTCCTGCTGTCCTCCTCTCAGGGCTGTCTGAGGTTTCTGTTCCTACGACACAAAGAATTAGTTCTAATTATTCTCTCAGTAGGTTCAAAACCTAAAAGTTTTTATCTACAGAATGAACAAGAATACTGCTTTATGTAATAAAAACTCATTTAAACTTTTAATATTCAGTCATTATACCAAGTACTTTCAGTATTAAAGCATAAAGAATTTTCTTTCTGGAACCAAACAATGAAATAAATCTCTCTTTAAAAAAAACTTTGTATTTGTACCATTATGAGAAGTTTGGTATCATAGGAGATTTGGCCTAGAAAACACTTTGTCATTTTAGAGGTGTTATCCAATGTTCTGCGCAGACGCTGGTGTCACAGAAAATGGAGTTGAATCCTTTCTCTGCCACTCTTTGAGGAGAATCTCACCATTTATTATGCACTGTAGAATACAACAATAA